AGGGCCCTATCAAATGGAACAAAATAAGCCTAACACCCTCAGTTACAAAAAGTTAGGTGTTTCTAGACTTCTTGGCAGGCATTAGGGGTTGGTCAGAGAGTTCTGCCTTAGCCTAGAAGTTTTAATAGCAAAGCAGACAGCCCTTCCATAAGCAGACTCCAGATCTGTTTTCAATAACTAAAATCTCATTCATTAATCACAGAGAAGCCAGTGGATTTTTTCTCTCAAGCAGATTTTCCAGTGTTAGAGATAATTAAAATGGGAAAAACCTCAAAAGTGGGTTTATGAATTCAGAGAAGTATGAACTTCATACTTCTAAATTTCTGAAGCTTTACCATGCACCTGGTACTGTGATAATAAGTAAAAATCACTATTTTAGTAACTAAGTAACTAAGTTTCACCCCTGTGGTCTTCCCCCCCAGCACAATTTGTGATAACCAGTAAGCTACCAGTTCTCTTGGGTAACAAATCAATGTCTTATGCCTTTGTCTTTATTTTTATGTTTTTTCCTTCTAGACATTTACACATACTTAAATATGGTTGGTTCAGCTTTTTAAGTACCAAAAAGTGGGTTTGGAGTTTTGTGCTGAGGAGGTTAGCTTTCCCTTCTGGTATCAGAGTGCCCTCTGCTGTCAGAGTGAGGCGAGTTTTGTGGAGGCCAGCTCCTTACCATCTGTGTAAATTCCCATTTATTTAATCTGTTACCAGTGTGTTTTAAGTTCTTCAAAGATCACCCCTAGGAGCTCTGGTACCATAGTGCTTAAGGCACTTGACTGCTAACCAGAAGGCTGGTGTTTCAAACCCACCAGCCACTCCTTGGAAGACTGGGCAATCCACTTCCATAGTGATACTGCCTTGGAAACGCAAGGAGGGGTCACTATGAGTCAGGTCCGACTTGATGGCACATAACAGCAAGATCACCCCTAGATAGTGGCTTTCAAAGTTTTCAGACCAACAGTAAGAAACACATTTAATATTGTGATACATAGGTTTTCCCCCATCAGAAAGCAGGGTGTTCCTATGAAACCTCTCATAAGCTGGCTTAAAATGGCTTAAAGCACTTGACTGAAGGACTTACCATTAATTTATATGGGAAAAATACTTTGAGCATTCTAAGACCTAGAAAATAACCTAACAAATCATACCAAATAACACATAGAACCTAAAATAACAGTAACACACTGTAAAAGCTGGAATGGTGGCATAGTGCCTAAGGCATTTGACTGCTAACCAGAAGGCTGGCGGTTCAAACCCACTAGCCACTCCTTGGAAGGAAGGTTACGCAATCCACTTCCACAGTGATACTGCCTCGGAAACCCAAGGAGGGGTCTCTATGAGTCAGATCTGACTTGACAGCAGTGACTTTGGTTTTTGTGGTATATAGAGTAGCCACCACTAGATTGTCATGTCATACTATATGGTGGTTTGTGTGTTGCTGTGATGCTGGAAACTATGCCATGGTAATTTAAGAGACCAGCAGGGTCACACATGAGGACAGGTTTCAGCAGAGCTTCCAGACTAAGACAGACTGGGAAGAAGGAAGGGGCTGTCCAATTCTGAAAAAACTGGCCACTGAAAACCCTGTGAATAGCAGTGAAATATCGTCTGGTATAGTGCCAGGAGATGAGCCCTTCAGGTTGGAAAGGACTCAGATTAAGACTTGGGAACAGCTGCCTTCTCAAAGGAAAGCTGACCTTAATGATATGGATGGAGCATAGCTTTGGGACCTTCATTTGTTGACATGGCACAACTCAAAATGAGAAGAAACAGGTGTAAACATCCACAAATGATCAGAATGCGGAGTGTACGTAGTATGAGTCTAGGAAAATTGAAGTTAAAAAAATTGAAATAGAATGCATGAAGATTGGTGTCCTAGGCATTGGTGAGCTGAAATGGACTAGGATTGGCCATTTTCAGTGAGATAATCACATGTTTTACTGTGCTAGGAGTGACACATTGAAGAGGAATGGTGTTCTTTTTGATAATAAATGTGACATCTCAAGATCTATCCTGAAGTACAGCTGTCAGTGATTTTATCCATACACCTACAATGAAGACCAGTTAATATTGACTATTATTCAAATTTACGCACCAACCACTAAAGCCAAAGATGAAGAAATTGAAGATTTTTAACCAGCTTCTGCAGTCTGAAATTGACCAGATGTGCAGTCAAGGTGTATTGCTAATTACTGGTGATTTGGTTTTGGTGATTAGAATGCGAAAGTTGGAAGTGAAGGAGCATTAGTAGTTGGAAAATAATGGCCTTGGTGAAAGATATAATGCCAGAGACCACATAATAGAATTTTACAAGACCAGTGACTTTTCATTTCAGTTCCCTATTTTCAACATCACAAGTGGTGACTATACACATGGACCTTGCTAGATGGAATATACAGGAATCAACTTGACTGAATCTGTGGAAAGTGGCAATGGAGAAACTCAGTATCATCAGTCAGAACAAGGCCTGAGGCTGACTATGGAACAGATATCAATTGCTCATTCATAAGCTCAAATTGAAGCTGAAGAAAACTAAGACAAGTCCATGAGAGCCAAAATGTGACCTTGATTATATCCCACCTGAATTTAGAGTCCATTTGAAGAATAGATTTGATACACTGAATACCAGTGACCTAAGACCAGATGAGTTGTGGAATGACATCAAGGACATCATACATGAAGAAACCAAAAACCAAATTCACTGCCATTGAGTTGGATCCAACTCATAGCAATCCCTCCTTGGGTTTCTGAGGCATTATCACTACAGAAGTAGATTGCCCAGTCTTCCTTCTGAAGAGAGGCTGGTGGATTTGAACCTCAGAAAGGAAGAAAAGACCAAAATGGATGTCAGAAGAGACTCTGAAACTTGCTCTTGAATGAAAAGTAGCTGATACAAATGGAAGAATTGATGAAATAAGAATTGAATAGAATATTTTAAAGGGTGACTTGAGAAGAAAAAGTATTAAAATGAAATGTGCAAAGACCTGGAGTTAGCAAACCAAAAGGGAACAACACACTTGGCGTTTCTCAAGCTGAAAGAACTGAAGAAAAAATTCAGACCTCAGGTTGCAATATTGAAAGATTCTATGGGCCAGATATTGAATGATTCAGGAAGCATCAAAAAAAGATGCAGGTATACAGAGTTACTGTACCAAAAAAGCATTGGTCAACATTCAACAATTTCAGGAGGTAGCATGTGATCAAGACCCAATGGTACTGAAGGAAGAAGTCCAAGCTGCAGTGAAAGAATTGATGAAAAACAAGGCTCCAGGAACTGATCAAATAACCACTGAAATGTTCCAAAATAGATACAGTTGTTTTGGTCTTTTCTTCCTTGTTTGGTATTTTCTTTACTTCCTTATGCCAAGTAATTTGGAAGACAGCTATCTGGCAAACCAACTGGAAGAGGATCCATATTTGTGCTGATTTCAAGGAAAGGTGGTCCAACAGAATGTGGAAATAATCAAACAATATCTTTAATATCACACGCAAGTAAAATTTTGCTGAAGATAATTCAAAAATGGTCGTAGCAGTACATTGACAGGGAACGGCCAGAAATTCCATCCAGATTCAAAGAGGACATGGAACAATGGACATCATTGCTGAAGTCAGATGGATCCTGGTTGAAAGGAAAGAATATCAGAAAGACGTTTATCTGTGTTTTATTGACTATGCACAGGCATTTAACTGTGTAGATCATAACAAATTATGGATAATGTTGCTGTGTTAGGCTGGATTCTCTAGAGAAGCAAAGCTAGTAAAGCTTATATATAGAGAGAGAAATTTATCTTAGGAAAATGGCTCACACACTTAAAGAAGCTGGCAAGTTCCAAGTACTTGGATCAGACATCAAGCTGGAGGCTTTTCCCAACTTATGCAGCTGCAGGGGCTGATGAACTCAAGGATGGCAGACAGTATACTGGCTGTTGACTCTGACGGATGACACATCCAAGATTTTCTGGCTGAATGGTGGATTGTTCGCTCACGGACACTTGTAGGCAGCACAACAGAATCCTGATCCACGGAAGAGTGTCTCTTTTTCCAGGATGTCCACATATGTGTATACACATATATGTATACATACACACGCATGTATGTATGCATGTATGTAGGATGCAGGCCACAGCCTTAGGGAAACTCCCTTTCAATGAATTGGCTGCTCAGAACGTATATATCTGATCTCATCATGGGAGTAACCACAACTTCTTACACCTCTCAGAATTGTGGTCCAGCCAAGTTGACACACACAACCCCAGTTATCGCAATTGTGAAGAATGGGAATTCCAGAACACTTAATTGTGCTTAGGAGGAACTCGTACATAGACCAAGAGACTGTGGTTCAGACAGAACAAGAGTACACTGTATAGTTTAAAATCAGGAAGGGGTGTGTGTCAGGGTTGTATCTTTTTACTATACGTACTCACTCTGCAGGCTGAGCAAATAATCTTGAGAAGCTGGACTACATGAAGAAGAATGTGGCATCAGGATTGGAGGAATATTCATTAACCATCTGTGATATACAGATGACACCTTGCTTGCTGAAAGTTAAGATGACTTGAAGCACTTACTAATGAAGATTGAAGACTACAGCCTATAGTATGGATTACACCTCAACATAAAGAAAACAAAAATCATCACAACTGGATCAATAAGCAGCATCACGATAAATGGAGAAAAGACTGAAGTTGTCAAAGATTGCACATTGCTTGGTTCCACAGTCAACACCAGTGGAAGAAATAGTCAAGGTATCAGACATCACATTGCATTAGGCAAATCTGCTGCAAAAGACTTCTTTAAAGTATTGAAGAGCAAAGATGTCACTTTGAAGACTAAGGTGCACCTAATCTAAGCCATGGTATTTTCAATCACCTCATGTGCATGTGAAAGCTGGACAATGAATAAAGAAGACCAAAGAAGAGTGATGCTTTGAATTGTGGTTTGGCGAAGAATACAGAAAATACCATGGACTGCCAAAAGAATGAACAGATCTGTCCTGGAAGAAGTGTGGCCTGAATGTTCCTTAGAAGTGAGAATGACCAGACTTCATCTCACCTACTTTGGTCATGTTGTTGGAAGGGGCCATTCTGTGGAGAAGGATATCATGCTTGGCGAAGTGGAAGGTCAGCAGAAAAGGGGAAGATCCTGAACAAGATGGATTGGGACAGTGGCTGCAGCAACGGGCTCAAGTATAGAGTGGGTTGTGAGGATGGGCGTGACAGGGCAGTATTTCATTCTGTTGTGCATAGGGTCACTATGAGTTGGAGCTGACTTGACAGCACCTAACAACAGCCTAGGCAATGCTGATGATACTAGTCTGTAGCCTCATTTTGGGTAGTAAGGCCTCAGATACTAATCTCTCTGAATGTAATTTTTTTAAGCTCTAATCTAGTGGAACATAGCATTATCTATCCTTCCACCTAATGCACATTGATTCAACCTCACAATCATTTTGAATTTGGAAGTGTCATGATTTATCTGCTGTATACAGAAGAATGAGACTGAGCCCCTGCCCCTGTTGGGGTTTATCTGGTAGTGCATCAAGTAGAATGTGGTAGGAGCCAAGAGATTTAAAAATAAGAGATGGGTGATACTTAGAGGTCAGAGGCAAGGGTGAGAGGAGTTATTTTGGGGAAAGCTTTGATGGGGGAGTTGCTTTTGATGCTTTTGAGTTGAGTCTTGAAAGTGTAGGAACTGTCTCTGTGGAAATGGGCAGGGAAGGAGACATTCCAGATAGATCGGTGTGAGTAAAGACACAGTGAAGAAATTTGTGTGATAAATGTGACTTTTCCAATGAGCTTCATTTTTCCCTCCAAACTACACATCTAAGAATAAACACCCATCTTGAATTTTGAAGGTCATTCTTAAAGAAATGCAACTTTTGAGAAGCCATGTGTGAATTGTGGGCTTTTCTTTATGTGTATTTTTTTTTCTTTTTTTAACTGTCTTTCCTTTTCTAACCCTGAAGATTCAGAAACTGTTGAAAAGATGTGCTATTTGATGTACAGTGTCTCTTCTAACAACTTGCTCATCTAGAAGTTGCAAAGATGATGAACAACTGATTGGCTCTTTCAGTTATCAAATTAAGTTAAGAGGTGGCACTTTCATATAGTTTGGCGAGAAATTAATGAGAAATGAGATGAATAGATTTGAATGATTGGAATTGTTTGCTGTGATGTATTATCCAGACAGAATTTTTAAATCCTTGAATTAAACAAATCTTTGGGACCCTAAAGTCCTGAAGGATGAAAGATGTCAGTTATGTTTAAAGTTATTAACAGTTCTTATGTTGAGGATTGAGCTTTTTCTACCTAGTTCCTACAAAATTAAAAGTATATAATGACTTCCCTTATTAAACATACATTTAGTTACTTAAAATTAAAACCCTCAGTTCCTGAAAGGCACACAACTGTTTATTTAATGGGCAGCTGAACTTTGGATTGCCTAGTCACCCACTGAATGCATTCATTCTGGTTTATGCTATGCGTATTGATTTAGTTATCTCTTGCAGTAATTCCACTGCAGGTAAGCGGGTGCACTTCAGCTTATTTTAGATTTTTTTTTTTTTTTCCAGAAGTATGTATTGACCACTGTGTGCTTAGGTGCAGTGCTAATCATCAGTTTCTAAGAGTGGTAAAAATCATTGTTTAAATAATGTATCTTGAAAACATAGAGTACTGAAATATTGTTATTCTCAACAAGTATTTGAGTGGCCTCTCAATAAATTCATTGGATACTTAATAAAAACAGCAGCTTATATTTGTGTAACATTTTGCAATGTGTAAAGTACTTTCAGTTGTATTATCTTGCCTAATCTTTAAAATCTAGTGAGAGGAACTTTCACTGTATATACCTTTTACAGATGAGAAAATTGAAGTGCAGAAAGAAGTTGAGTGATTTGCTCTGAGTTAAGGCAATAGGTCCCTAAAAGGAGATTTCCCATATTCTAAGATTGGTATAGGATACAGTTTTAACCTCAAGATTGCCAAGTTAGATCAAATTTAGAGAGCCTGAAAATGTGCATATAATATATTTGACCTTACTTTTCAGAGATGGGGGAGGGACTTCTTGATTTGTTTAAACAGTGGAGACCTGTTATAAAGCAGTATGAGGCAGACGGTTAATGTGTTTGGTTACTAGGTGAAAGATTGGTGGCTTGAATCCACCGAGAAGTGCCTCAGAAGAAAGACCTGGTGATCTGAGCCTGACAAATTGAAAACCCTTTTGAACCGGGTTCTCCTCGGACAGTGAATTGGAGTCACCTTAATAGCAACTGGTTTTTGTAAGCAGTAATATAGAGTTCAGTTTTGAGAGAGAGAGAATTCTTTACAGCTGTGCTTAGAACAGTTATAATGACTTATGTCCTTCACTTGTATCATTTATTTATTCTTTTAAATCCAGCAAAATTTCATCTTGTTTTTGACAATCAGGCTTTTATTCACTTTCTTGAGTTTTTGATGGCCTCTAGATGGCATTGTAATTGGAAGATGTGTTTCTGTATTGAAATATTTTCCTGCAGAGGTGGTGGTTTTTGTTGTGTGCTGTCGGGTTGATTCCCACTCAGTGACTCTATAGAACAGAGTAGAACTGCCCCATAGGGTTTCCTAAGCTGTAAATCTGTATAGGAGCAGTTGCCAGGTCTTTTTCCCCCACAAAGCTTCTGGTGGATTTGAACCACCACCTTTGGGTTAGCAGCTGAACGCTTACTCATTGTGCACCCAGATGCACAATGAGTGATGTATGAGAGATGTGGAAATCTCGTAATTTTCCCTGTGATATGTCTGATCTGCTGTCTTTTTGCCACCAGGAGCCATATGTGTGTGAGAAGGAGGCCGTGCCTGTGTCTGAGAGCTCCTTCAAGCTCCTCAGCTCCTCAGATGATCTGTCCAGTGACTCGGAGAGCCATCTCACTGAAGAATCTGCTCAGGCCTCGCCCCAGCAGAGCTTTCGAAGGCGAGCCAACACCCTGAGCCACTTCCCTACGGGAAGTCAGGAACCTCCAGAACCTGCTGAGGTGTCTTCAGGGGTCTCACAAAGGAAACTTATGAGGTATCACTCAGTGAGCACAGAGATGCCTCATGAGCAAAAGTAAGATTTGTTCAAAATGTTAAATGTTAATACATTTAAATAGCTGGGGCATATCTATGACTAACCAGGTATGTGCAGCCCAGGTATGTGTGTTTGGTGAAAGACAAACCTGAGGCAGGTTTTACTCTGGGCTTGAAAAGATAAAACTCGAGGCCATACCATGTGCCTTCCCACATTTCCTTCTTACGAAATATGTAGATGGAAGAGAGACTTGTTCCTTGTGTAAGTAACAAGTACTTGTATAAGGAACAAGTACCAACTACAAATATTACAAGGAAACAGGTAAAAGTGAGCAAAAATAGTACTTAAAAATGTGACAGTTACTCCTCAAACCATACAAGAGGCTTGTTGGCTTTGGAACATACCTACTGGCTTTGAGGAGAAGTAGCAAGGTGGTAAGCTGATTAGTCTGCTCTTGTGAAAGTCTGGGACAGAACCACTCTGCAGTGGAGATGCAGTGATCTGTGATGACAGCGGGAGAGGTGTCCAGGCCACACAGTGACACGGACGCCTATAATGGGCTCCGTGGCCTTGGGTTCTGGTCCCAGCTCTCTCATGAACTAGTGGTGATCTGGGCAAATTTGTTTACCTTCTATGATAAGACTGGAGTAGATGTTTCCAGTGTAAGAGTTCTAGATTCTTCTAACAAGAAATAGTTGGGCTCTAAAGAGCAGTTGGAATTTTCTGGTTATAGAGATGAGTAGGCAGTACGGTGGCAGAAGTTCTCCCCATTCCTGCCAGATCCCTTGGTGATTAATTTGTTCCTGGTAAGTTCCAGAGACTATAAATAGATACTACAGAAGTAACTTTAAAAACCCTTGAAAATCCCTCACCTTACAAAGCAACGTGACTTAGGGCTACATTCACGTACACCGCTGGAAGCCACTGAACATATGTATCCATGAAGTCTGCACACGGATAGTGGAGAGACTGCGCAGAGGTGTTCGGCGTGTCTTGGGTGAAAACACGACAAGCATTAGCAGTCCTGGAAAGATGTAGTAGGGCCTCTCAACTTTGTCTTCACTCGGACACTGAAATGGCTGCTGATGGTTCTTTGGGATTCGGCTGGATAACTGTGATCCCAAACCAGGATGTGCTTTAGAAGCTCATGTTTAATGAGTATGACTGTGCAGAGACAAGCATCGTTTGGCTGCAGCCCTAGGAGGTTCTTATCTTTCCCAAGACCCTCTGTTAAAGCAACTTCTATTTTGCTTTACGGCTGCATTCCCATTCCTATTTCTGGCATTTCCAGCGATTGTGGAAACATTCCTATTTGGAGAGTCCTCGTTGCCTTGCCAAGTCTGCTGTTAGACACATGCCAGAGGTGATAGGAAATTAGATCCCTGCCAGTGCGTTTCCCTTCTCCCCTAAGAATGCAGCCTCGTCAGGGATCATGCTGGACGTGGGTGACAAGGGGAGGGAGGACGTCTTCCTGCCTGTGTCTCGAAGTGTGGCCAGTTTTTCTTTTTTGCCCCACTGCCAATCCTTTGTTCATTTACCTACAGGTGAGAAGACATTGAAATGCAGTGCAGGATGTTCATTTTAAAGATAGAGATGCATTCTAAAATCACTAGATTTTCTTTTGTCTTCCTTTGCTTTTTATTTTTTTCTGTTATGTTCCTAAAAAAGACTTGTACAAGTAGGTAGTCCCTGACTTATGACATATTCGTGTTACAACAAACCGCACTTATGACCGTCTTTTTTAAAAAAAAAAAAAAAATCCTGTCATTAGTAATATGTACTGCATACAATGTTAAAATATCAGTGAGTTTATATGTAATGTTTCAACCCCCAAAGACAAAGATCAGATTTATAAAGAAACTGACGACAAGACAACAATAATAATAATGAAAAGTAAGAAAAAAAGGAGGTATTCACGAAAACTAAGTCAGAACTTAGTTATTTATTTGCTTAAAAAGATAAAACTTGAGGCCACGGCATGTGCCTTTGCACGTTACCTTCTTAGGAGATATGTAGATGGAAGAGACATTTGTTACTTGTATAAGTAACAAGTACAAGTACCAGCTACAAATATTACAGGGAAACAGGTAAAAAGGAGCAAAAATAGTACTTAAAACATGTGACAGTTACTCTTCAAACCATACAAGAAGGTCGATAAATAAGTCAGAACTGACTTAACCCTGTTGTAGGTCGGGGACTACTTGTAGAGGAGAACTAATGGGAGCGTAGACATGTGGGAAAGGACTGAAGACAGTTTTCACCTACTCTCCTTTTTACTGAAAACTACCTTCACCAGAGAGGTGGCTGGGATATGGAAGAGAAGTGAGAAGAAACCCACTGACTTTCACAGTTTGTATTTAAACAACGAGACAAAAGCAGGCGGCCCATCTTCCTTCTGTTTTCTCCAAGTTCACCCTTCAGCGTTTCACCCTTCTCTTTTCCCCCTCTAATGCTCCCATGCTTTCTCTTGAATTGCTACCTAGTGTGAACCATCCACCTGTTGGCGAGTGTGAAAGTGGCTCAGGTCAGTCTGCAGAACCTGCTCCTCCACCTTGTCTAAATCCCTCTGCCTCCTCGCCAAATTTTTTTAAGTACCTAAAACATAACTCAAGTGGAGAACAAAGTGGGAATGCTGTGCCAAAGAGGTGAGCACACTGCATGGCAAGTTCAGTGTCGTTTGTCATCCCAGAGGATGTGCTGAGTGGAGGGAGAGTCCATGCAAAGAGCTGGAAGCACCGATTGTGTGTGTGCATTTGTGTTTGCTTATTTTCACATTTGTTATTTTCAGCCTGTCACTTGTGCTGACTTAATTTCACTATTAGTTCATTTTCTCAAAAGTATTATGAGAACAAGTCTTGATGACCAATTGTTTTGTGTGTACTTATTTTCACAACCCCTTACCCTGACACACCCGCTTGCAGGTTAACAGCTGTAGTTGACTGTGGGAGGCCCTGGGTGGTGCCAGTGGTTAACATGCTTGGGTAGTGACCAAAAGGTTGGAGGTTTGAATCCACCCAGAGACACCCCAGGAAAAAGGCCTGGAGATCTGTCAGGCATGAAAACCCTGTGGAGCAGGGTTCTGCTCTGATATACATGGGGTCGCCATGTGTCGGAGTTGATTTGATGGCAAATGGAATTTGTGCCAAATACACTGGAATTTGTGCCGTATCAGAAACTTGCTAATCAACATAGGAAACTTATTTCTGGTTAAAGGGAACAGTGATTTGATTTTTTTACAAAGTTAATTTATTGATTCCATTAATTTAAAATAGGATTTTATTGACTTAACATGAAAGTTAAATCTCATTTATAAATTATTTCCAGCTTCTCACCTAGTTTACTTTTCTTAGTGTTAGAGTGGATTTTTTTTTTTTTTATGTGACGTTTGTATTTTATACTCTGTGTGTTTATATTTCTTTATCCTAAACTCTTTTTTCAACCACACTCTCAGCATCTCCTACCGTAATGCCCTGCGGAAAAAACTTCATTCCTCTTCCTCTGTGCCAAATTTTCTAAAATTTCTGGCTCCTGTAGATGAAAATAACACCTCTGACTTTATGAACAAAAAAAGGTAGGGCTTAATTTAGATATATGAAGCCTACGTGTTATAAGTGTTGAATTATTGATGGATATACAGGGACTTTTTTTTTTTTAGGTGTTCTTTTTGCCATTAAAAAAATATTTTAGGTAAATCTATTGTATTTTCTCTTTTACACTTTTTTTTCTCACTGGGTTTCATTTAAAATTCTGTAGTCAGCTTCTTCAGTGCTGACTAGGATTAGTTTATTAATGTGTTACTGTTACCTTCAGAAGCCTGAAGAAAGCCTCACCCGTTCTCCAGGTGTGCAGCAGTGTGTCTGTATACTGAGCACGTGGCTGTCATAAATAAGTTAGGATGCCTGACCTTTAAGTTGGGGAGATTGCTTAGGTGTGTATATTCAGGTGTAAATTACAAGGGCCTCCCCAAGTTTTCTGGTGCATAGGAAGAAAGGAGTAATTGGATTGTGCATGCATGGATGGATGGACAGATAGATAGATATACAGACTTTGTTTTGTTGTTTTGAAAATCATCATCAGCAAGTGACCGCATAGTTACTGCCTTATGGTTCCGTGTAACTGAACTGGAACTTTCCTCATTTGAGGCAGCAAACCATGGTAGTGTGAGTCTATGTTGAGATAATATTCCCACCCCCCGGTGTAGTGCTGATTAAGCCTCCTTTAGGTAGTTTCTCTTTCCTGAAGTGGCCGATTAGAAGCCATTGACCTGTGGACCGTATTTCCCTTTCATTTACAATAGAAGTAGTCCTTTAGAAGTGTTGAACCACTGTGAGCTTGACTTTAATCTAGTGATTATCTGATTATATTTGCTTATTCAAAGAACATTGATTATCTAGTGCTTTGCTATTTTAATTTTTTTTTAAGTCAAGCTAAAAATAGCAATGACAAACCCATTGATGTCGCCCCACCAGCCATAAGTCATTTATCCTGTACTCTTAGGGACTTTGAACCCAAGGCAAACCACCCGGATGATGCCCACAGAACCCCTGTGAAGACACGAAGGCATTCGTGGAGGCAGCAGATCTTCCTCCGAGTGGCGACCCCGCAGAAAGCGTGTGAGTCTCCTAGCAGATACGAAGGTAAGGCTTCCACTGAAATGAACCTGCTAGATCTGCACCTGAGTTTTCCCTCTAACAAAAGTTCATTCAGTAGAAGATGTGAACTGAGATTTTGAATCCAAGCCATCCTGTTTTAATGTCCCCCAAGGAAAAGGTCACATGGCAATGGCTTTAACCATTTCCACAGGGTTCCTACATACCAGGGAAACCTGTAACAGGTCTCAGCTGTTCTAACCCTGGGCTGAAAATGGCACCTCTGCTGAGCTTGTGCGGCCTCTCACCTCCCCTGCCATGAGAATGTTTTAGAGGTTCAGCCTAATGTTCCCTGCTTCTCACTTTCCCTTCACACTGTGTTCCTAAGCTTGTATCCCCCTCCCTGCTAGCTGCCTGTAAATTTACACACTGCCCTATAGTATCTAAGGCATTTGACTGCTAACCAGAAGGCTAGCAGTTCAAACCCACCAGTCACTCCTTGGAAGGAAGATTGGGCAATCTATTTCTGTAGGGATACCACTTCGGAAACCTAAGGAGGGGTAGTTATGAGTCAGGAACGACTTGACAGCAGTGAGTTTGGTTTGGTTTTTGGTTTGACTTAGCATGGGGTGGCCTGAGAGGCACCCCAACACCCAACTCTTTGGCTACACTTGTAGTGCCCTGGCCTGCCTCAGTTGCTGTCGGTCGGTCTTGTGTGCTGGGAGGACCGTCGTGTCCTTGCCTCCCTCTTCTGCCACCCAAAGAAATACAGAATGAGTGTGATCTATTCTTAGACCTTTCCATGTTGAGTTATAACAGAAAATGAGATTAAATGCAGTTCTCTTGATGATAGTTAAGATTTTTCTTGGCCTGGTGATGCCATACATTTTCAACAGACATTTTCTTTTCTTAATGTTCTTTAACCAGATAACTTTTTTTTCTTAAAAAGGCAAAGCAAAATAGAACTCGAAAGATTTCTTGAGTTTCTCAGATTCCACAGGTGTTGATTCACATTTGCCCCTGGCACACTTCTGTGCATCTCAGAGGAAGCCAGAAACCAGCGACATGGAGTTAGTTCCAGCTCACAGCACCCCAGTGTGTGTGAGGGTAGAACTGGGCTCTGTAGGGTTTCCAGTGGCGGACTTTTGAGAAGCAGCTCACCAGGCCTTTCTTCTGAGGCACCTCCGAGTAGACTCAAACCTCTACCCTTTTGGTTAGCAGGCGTTTACTCAGCCATCAGCTTAACCGCATTACCTAAAACTCCTCCTTAGGAAGCAGCGCAGTCTAATCCCAAACTTTCAGACTAGGTTCATGGTGCTGCCATGAAGGGAGGGGCACTACCAGAGGAGCCCCTCCTCTTTCCTCCTGCTCCCCTCTTCTCCTTCCCACCTCTTCGACCCTTCAACCCTTCTCCCTTCTTCTCTCCCCTCTCCTCCTTCCTCCTCAACTTCTTTCCCCTTCCTCTCCCTCTTCTCTTCCTTTTTCTCCTCTCTTCCCCTCCCATTCTTCCCTCTCCCGCTCCCAGATCTCCGTATTATTTAATTTTCACAATGAATGCTCACAGATTGTGATGTCAGTCATAACACTTGATTTACCCTTACTTCATTGTAAAACGGTTGTAGTAGCACTGACTCTTCCCAGCTCGTAGGATTGCATTATGTTAGGAGTGGGAGAGTACTCTAAAAACCTTAAAGACATAACAAATATAAAGTGATAGCATTATCTTTATTACTGTCTTAAAAACTGGAACACTGGTGTTAGGTTTCCATACAGGAGCAATGTAAAGAAACCCTAGAGAGACTGCTGTTGTACGCCATCAAGCTGATTCCGACTCACAGTGACTCAGGAGGACAGAGCTGCCCCATTGGGCTTCTAAGGCTGTAACCCTTAGGGAAGCAGACTGCCGCATCTTTTCTCCCACAGGCCTGCTGGTGGGTTCTCAGAACCGACCTTTCAGTGAGCAGCCAAGTTCTTTGTTCGTAATTTCGGTGACCCTTTTTAAAAAAAACCTCAGTAAGTTGAATTAGTTCAGTGCGTATTCATGAAGAAAGTTGGTGTTCAAAAGATTTCATTTTCACATTGCAGATGGTCTAGTAAAGTCCGTTGGCCAGATCGTGTGATACAATTCCGTCTGTCCTTAAATACCTTTACTCACCTAAGGTATTAAGCACCTGCTGGGGTGCAGAGTGGCTGTAGACAACAGGAGGCTTGTCCAGTGTGCAGTCTTGGCCCCCACCTGCCCCTGGTTGCAGAGCTCTGGACCCTGAGGAAATGCTTGCAGCTCTGCATCCCTCCCCTTAATGCTGTTCTTTGTCCATGTGTAGAAGTATGTCTGGTTTCAGGAGGGGCATTGTTACCTCTAAGATTTTTATCTATTCTGATTGGAGTCAGAAGATTAGTCATAGCGAACCCCATTGGGTTTCCAGGGCTGTAAATCTTTACAGAAGTAGATCGCCCCATCTTCCTTCCGCAGAGCAGCTGGTGGGTTTGAACCACTGACCTGGTTAGCAGCCAAATGCCTTATCCACTAAGCCTCCAAAGCTCATTCAGAAGGTTTGTAAAGCCAAAAGAAAACCCCAAACCCACTGCTATAGAGTCATGTCTCATAGCAACCCCTCCTTGGGTTTCCAAAGCATTATCGCTACGGAAGTAGATTGCCCAACCTCCTTCCGAGGAGTGGCTGGTGGGTTTGAACCACCAGCCTTCTAGTTAGCAGTCAGATGCCTTAGGCACTACACCACCAGAGCTCCTGGAAGGTTAATAAGTGGTAGCAAATTTTAATTCTTTGGAGATCCCCAAGATAAAGTGAAGGAGAAGAGTGTGTTGTGGGCAGCCCATGAGAACTTGGCCTGTGTCATCCCAGTGGGTAGAAGTGCCAGGAAGGGGAGGAGGGAAAAAACACAGAACGGTTGGTATTGAGTCGATTCTAACTCATGTGACCCCACATATGTCATAGCAGAACTGTGGCTCCATGGGGCTTTCAGCGGCTGATTTTTTGGAAGTGAGTTGCCAGGCCTTTCTCCTGAGACACTCTGGGGGGACTTGAACCTGTAGCCTTTCAATTACCAGTCGAGCACTTTGACTGTTGCACCACCCAGGAAGGAGGAAGAGGCCACAGTTTGTGTCTGTGCTCTTTGTTTGGAAGTCAGGGCAGCTTGCTGCGAATGAGATGAGATTATGGGTTGTTGCCCCAGCATTTGGAGCACTGAGCAGATCGCTGTGCTGTGGGACTCTGGCCTGTACCCTGGACCTTGAGTGGCAGGGTCTTTGGGGAACCGAGAATGGGAGTGCTTGGTATCATCATCTCCCCTGCTGGAAGCAATGCTCAATACAGTACTCAACCCTGTACCCACACGTTTGCTTGGTGGAAAACCCCCCAATCTCACTCTCTGATAGGAAAGCAGAGAACTGGTGTCCTCAGCATTGTAGGGTCTGAGGCAGACACAAAGGTCAACTTAGGGAAGGAATACTGAGCTCGTTTAGGGCAACCTCTAAAAGCAAGAGCAGAGCTCTCTTAGGGCTGAGATGGTTGAAAGCATAGACTTAGAGGTCTGCATTCAAATCCCAGCTTTTCCCCTCATGAGCTGTGAATAGGAGCAAGCTCTCTAAATTCCTCACCTGTAATTAATATTAATTATGCCTATTGCCAAAGTGGTTGAGATAAGGGCCATAACGTTATTAAAACCAGTTGTTGTTGACTCAGTTTTGAGGTGACCCCCTGTATGTCCGAGTGGAACTGTGGTCCACAGGGTTTCCCATGGCTGATTTTTCAGAAGCAGGTGGTCATACGTTTCTTCTGAGGCACCTCTCAATGGACTCGAACCTCATACCTTCCGATTAGCAGCCGAGTGCGTTCACCTTTTGCACCATCCAGGGACTCCATAATGTCACTATTGAGTTTTTATTGGGAAATGATCACAATGTATAAGATCAGAAAGAAAATCAATGACATGAACATCTTCAGTATGAAGTTACCACGCCTGTGGTGTGAAAGTCACTCTGTGCACCCTGCCCTCTTGCCTTAGTCCCTCTGCGTGGGGTTGCTGTGGAGCTCTGCGGGCACCTCCCCACTGTGGGCAGCCCCTTGACGGGAGCTGTCTGCCATGCTGCATGGCCCAGGTTTTAATTTCTCTCACTGCCAGTGTGAGCGTGATGGCTGTGCTCGTGTCTTGCTCCTCCGCTGCCCTGGTGGAGAGGCCTGCCTTCTGCAAAGGGCTCTGGTACGGACAGTGCCCTGCTGTGGGGGAGGGGGTGGCTAGCATTGAGTGGAAGAGAGGAAGGGCAAGGGACTAGAAGGCAGGCCCAGGAGGATGAACTGAGCTGCAGTCTGTCAGAAACAACGGAACAGCACAAACCACAAACCAGAGTGTTGATGGTTAAAACAGTGCCTCAGCATTGCGATAGGCACACCTCAGAGGCAGCAGTTGTGGGACGTGAAATGCAGTAATGTCTGCTCAGGAGTCCCTGCATAGTGCAAACAGTTAAGGCACTTGTCAGCTCTGGGTTCTGATCCTCCCGGTGGCACCTTGGGAGAAAGGCCTGGCGGTCTACTTGTGGACAATCGGCCATTGAGAACCCTGGGGGCACAGCTCTGCTCTGACACACACGGGGTCCTCAGGAATTGGACTTGGACTTGATTTGATGGCAGCTGGCAATGTCTGCTTTCAAATGCTTACTGCAGCGGCAGAGTGTATCAGGCAGGGCTTCGGACCAGGTCATTCTGGTTTGACCCCCTGCTGAGAATGTGCAGTCCCCACCCCGGATACACTGAATCTGATTCAGTATCTCTGGGTTGAAAAAGCACGTTCCCAGCAAGGCCGGAATGACCCGGTTTGAAGCCCTGGTATTAAAGGCCGTTGGTGACTGTGTTCAGGCTACCTGCCCCATTAGAGTTTAGGGGTTTCAGACGAGCTTTCATAGAATGAGCCAAGCCCTGTCTCCCTATCATTTCACCCCTTGGTTCTGTTCTGGTTTCTGAAGCTCCTTGTTCTTCCGATGACAGAGGACCGTGAAGGCTGCTGCGGCTTTAAATCTCTTCTCCAGGTTAG